ATATCGCTGTTTTTAAGCCATCTACTTTATGAAATAAACTCTATAAATATCGCTTCATGAAATGAGGAGAAAATCTTGTAACCCTTTAATTATCAGTTCCCTCTAGGCGTCGACGCGCTGACTCCCTCCGCCTTAAGATCGGGACCGAGCTGACACCTTTAAGCGGTTCCATAAATAAAATTTGGTGCGGAACTGCGCGCGGCGCTGTGTGCCACTGCGGAGGCGACAGAACGAGAAGCTGGAGGTCACGGCGAGCGCTTCGTTAAGGTCTTCGGAGAGGGGGGGAAGGGGGAGGCGGAATGAAAGTCAGTACGAACGAGGATGGGCGGCACAAGGTAGAAGGAGGTGGAGCGATGAGGCACTTCAGGGTATGATGAGGTAGAGGGTAAAGGTATCCACGGGTCAAAAGAGCGAGCCGAGGCGAGGTGAGACAAGGTATAGTCCTCATACGAGACTACACAAGGTGGGGAGGATGAGGAGGCGGAGCGAAGTGGGTCAATAGGATGAGATGGGTGGCGAGAAGGACCGAGAGCTGTGCGGGGTGGGCGGGCGCGGCATGTGGCGGGGTATTTAGCTCACCGAGAGGGGCGGTCCGTGGAAGTGCGGTGAGGCGAGACGGTTTGGGGCGAGCAGCCCCTTAGGAGGGTGGTGTGGGAAGGTGCGAAGCGAAAGGGGAGGACGAAGAGTCGTTTGGAGCTGATGTGGAAGGAGGCGAGATGGTACAACGCAACGCGTGGCGGAACGAGACGGGGCGGTGTAAAGCGGACGCAAGGCGAGGCGGGGCCAGTCGTCCTGCACCGTGCTTTACCTCTTTGCCCCTTTACCCATCCTTTCCGCCTCGCCTTCCCCCTACCCCCCGCTTCGCATTGCCTTCGCTTTTACCCGGCCCCGCCCCTCCCTGCTGTACCCGCCCCGCCTCGATCCGCTTGCATCCCGAACCCCCCTCCCCGCCCCGCCCTCTCCCCGCCCCGCCGCGCCTCGCGTCCGCCATTTCCCCGTTCCGTCTTTGCACCCGCCCCACCCGCTCCTCCCCCCCCACGACGCCCTGCTCCACCCCGACCGGCCCCACCGTACACCTCCCCGCCTCGCCCCCCGCCACCTCTACCTGCTCGCCTTCCCGCTATTTCTTCATCCCGCCCTACTCTGCCCTTGCACCGCTCCGCCGTGCACCCCCCCACTCGTCCTCCCGTCCCACGACGCCCTGCTCCACCCGCGCCTGGCCCCGCTCGCCGTGCGTCCGCTTTACACCGCCCCCCGGGGGGGGGGGGTTTTTCCTCCGTTTTTCCGTCCACGCGTTGCGT